ATTATGGTAAGGGGCGTTTCATTTCCGACGTGTGCTTGTGGTGTTCGGCCAATCACAGTGCACTGGGTCAGCTGGCCAATCAGAGCGGACTGCGCTTGTCAAAGGAGGGGGCTTTGTAGAAAACGAAGCGTTTGAGAGAGGCGGGGCATAGAGGACCTACAATAATGTACAGTATTTGAAAAATAATGTGTTTTTTGAACATTAAAGCATGTCAACATATTCTGTTACACCAAATACACAAAATAATGATCTTTAAAAAAGCATCATATGACCCCTTTAAAGGTTTGAATGTCAAACTTAGTCAAAACAACTGCAGTATCTTCCTCTAGGGGGCAGTAATACTGGAGACTCTTTGGAAGGTTTTGCAAGTGATTTTTGAATGTCAATAGCGTGACTTCTGCATCTCTTTTCACAATGAAAACTATTGCAAAATGTTTTTTGAGAAATCTGTAACAAGACACAGCATTTGAAGCTGAGGTAGAAGATTGTATTTATTTTAAACTAAATGATGTATTGGTTTAATTTTCTATAGTATGTGTTCAATTATAGTTCTGTGGCTAAAACCACCATCAAAATGTTTGTCTAATCTGAATCAAGACACACCTATTGAAGTTCTGTAATGAAACTGTGTGTTATAAATTAATTGATTAAAAATTTGATTTTCAAAAGCATGTTTTCTTTTATAGTTCTGTGACTAAAACAAATATAAAAAATGTTCTTATAAAAACAGTAACAAGACACACCATGAGGTTGATGAAGAGTGTATTTATCTTAAATGAATTTATTTATTGGTTTTAATTTCAATAGCGTGTACTTTTTTGGTGTCATACTTCTGTGAAAACAACGAACATTAAAATGCTCTCACAAGGACCTGGAATCAGCCTACTGCATAACCACTGTATTATGGAATGATAATGATTTTTAATATTGTTTTTCTTTTATTAATATATTTATGAATAGTACTCACATATCTTGTTTACAATATTTCTTATTTAAATTCAAGTGAGCGTTATAAGTGTTTGTCTTTATATCTTTCAAATACCTTGGTGCACAAATTGCTCTTTTCTTTTGTTAATTGTAAAAAAACATTCCGGTGGGAAAACATTAATCGTTTTATCCTTTACTTTGTAGACGGTCCCTAGCTGGCCTAAGCACTAGCTCGATATAAACTCGCAATTCTGAGAAAAAAAAAGTCAGAATTGCGAGTTTATATCTCGCAATAATTGTTCATATATTGCAATTCTGACTTTTTTTCTCAGAATTGCGAGTTATAAAGTCAGAATTGCGATATATAAACTCGCAATTCCGAGAAAAAAAAGTCAGAATTGCGAGT